CAAAAAAAAAAAAAAAAAAAAAACTAGGAGAATCTTAAAATACTTAATGTTTTAAACAGTGATGAGATTTGAGACTATGGTAGAAACTTCTGCTTGTCCCCCAGTATCTATTCTTCCTTTCTTCCTCAGTACTGAAACTGCATTTTCTAGCCTCCCTTCCTGTTTAGTGTAGCCAAGTGACTAAGTTTTTGCCAGCAGAATGAAAGCAGAAATGGTATATGCGAACTTTGGGAAAGGTTCTTTTTTAAAAAATAGTACAACCACTTTTTTTATTTATTTATGGCTGCGTCGGGTCTTAGTTGTAGCATGCGGGACCCTTCCTTGAGGCGTGCGGGCTCTAGCTGTGGCATGTGTGAGCTTAGTTGCCCTGGAGCATGTGGGATCTTAGTTTCCTGATCAGGGATCAAACCTTCGTCCCCTGCATTGGCAGGTGGATTCTTAACCACTGGACCACCAGGGAAGTCCAGAGAAAAGTTCTTAAAGAGAGGGCATGTTCCCTTTGTCCTCTCACCTTCTGGTTGGAATGCAAGTATAATGGCTAGAGCTCCAGCAGCTCTCTTAGACCATGAGGTGACATTGGGAATGGAGGCTGATATCTTCCAAATACAAGTATATTTGAAAGCATAAATAAATACATGTGTGACTTTCTTGGCTGGAACAAGGATGCTGCATCTGTCTCCATGAAGTGCCAGGCCAGCTCTAGACTAACTTTGACTTCTAAAACTTGAGAGGGAAATACCAATTTTTGTTTAAGCCACTCTTATTTTCTGGTTGTTTTCCCCTGCTTCATGCAGCCAAACCTAACCCTAATACAATAATCAAAAAAGAAGGGCTTCCCTGGTGGCGCAGTGGTTGAGAGTCCGCCTGCCGATGCAGGGGATGTGGGTTCGTGCCCCAGTCTGGGAAGATCCCACATGCCGCAGAGCGGCTAGGCCCGTGAGCCATTGCCACTAGCCTGCGTGTCCGGAGCCTATGCTCCACAAGAAGCAAGATTTTAAAACCTTTCATTTATTTACTTACTTTTTGGCCACACTGTGTGGCCTGTGGGACCCTAGTTCCCCAACCAGGGATCGAATCTGCATCCCCCGCAGTGGAAGCACAGAGTTCCAACCTCTGGACAGCCAGGGAAGTCCCTAAAAACTTATTTTAAAAAGTCAACTTTCATAGGTCAGCAATTTAACTAATTTTAAGGTTGCACATATTTAAAAAGTAATTTATTCAACAAATATTTATTGAGCACCTAGATCCTAGCACATGTTATCAGGATGATGGGTAATGTAACTGCAAGTGTATATAAAATATAAAAGATAGAAAAATAGTATCCATGAAAATGAGAACTGAGAGATAGTGGAAAAAATATCAAAAACTAGGGATTGTTCCTCTTACACGTATAAGAGTTATAGGAGTAACAGGAGTAGAAGAGGATGGCCTTTTGTGATAACTTGGGACACAAAACCTTTTATTTTATTATACTTCAGGTAAAAGCTCTTTTAGATTTCTATTGATAATAACTGGACTTGCACAATGTCTTTCCCCCAAACAACTAAATGACATTTTATATTCCATAGGAAATTTAGACAGACGGGGCTTGCAAAGGCTGTTGAAGTTACATTGAAAATTCAAGATGTAGCGGCTTTAAAGGATACAGTAGGAAGAGACCTGACAATAAGAAAAACAAAAATCTGGTAGATGGCCGGGAAAAGCTTCAGGACAGAATCAGAAGACTACTTGTGTTGGTAACCTCGGGTTACAGTACTAGTTGGTAGCCTTGGACAAGTAACTTCACCTTTCTAGGCCTCCATTTCTGAGTGGCGGGGATTAGAAAAGAACATCTTTACAGACCTTTAGGTCCTGAGAACCCTCTTGGAGCACGTGCCCTACACTGGGCAGCTGGTGGTCAACGCCGCTGGGCCTATAGGCAAAGAGAGCCCCTGCCCCTGGGTCTTGGGCTCCCCATGCACGTGATCTCACGGATGCTGCACTTGAAGTCCCTGAGCAGAAACGCAGCTGTGCTGCCATCCAGAAGGCAACAAGAGTGGCCAGGTCTACGCGTCCGCTAATTTACAGACGCCAAGCCTGGCCGTCAGCTCCCGGAGGGCCGGCAAAACCCCGGAGCCCTCGCTCCGCCCCGTGGCGTCCTCGCCCCGCCCCTAGAGCCCCGCCCCGCCCCGGCCGGCCACTTGCTGCGCGAGGATTGGCTGCTGCGGTGCGCACGGCGCCGCGCCCCGCCCCGCCGGCGCCCTCGCCTTTCGCCCGCGGACTGCTACCGGCTCCCGGGGGCTGAGGTGGAGCCGAGGACCCGGCTCTGCCGCGGCTTAGCCGCCTCCTCCTGTGCACTCGCGCCTGGTGTCGGCTTGGAAGTCGGGGAAGCCGGGTGAGTGCGGGAGGCCGGTTTGGGGCTGTGCGAGGGGCTGGCGCTTGCCGCCCGCACGTAGGAAGGCACCCCCGGCTCGTCCGGCCCGGCCTGCGAGGTGCGGCGATGCCCGGCCCGGCCTCTCCGGTGAGAGGCGCCGCCGGGCGGAGCGGGTCCGCGGGGCGTCCGGGCGTTCTGCGGGGCGGGGGCCGCCGCCGCCCCCTCCGCACCAGCCCGGCGCTCGGCCGGGGCGAGCCGCACCGCCGCGTTGTCTCGCCGTCGGATTGCTTCCCTGGAAGGTCTGGAAAGGTTTCCGTCTCGAGCCTGTCAGCTTCCCGGGGCGACGGGCGGTGGGGAGACGATGTGCGGCCCGCACGGGGCATCAGAGAGCCACTCAGGTGCTTCGTCGCCCCTCCCGTTTGCTCTGAACCATGGCTGGGAATGTCTTCAGTGTTCCGCGCTCTTTTCCGAGTCTCTCCGTATGAGAGTCAGGTACAGAGGTGTGAAATGGAAGAAGGTCAACCTTTCGCGTATTAATCATAAAGTGTTCGTGCCCTTTTAGATAAAGAGCAGCAGAGAGTTGCCCATGTAGCAAAGGTAGTTGTGCTGGGGAAGACCATTTTGGTTTTTAACCAATAAATTGGCTTCCGAGTTAATCAATGGAAGGTGGTTAATTTGAAAGGTAAATATATGACCTTTTAAAGCCTCCGATGGGAGTGAATGTAATCAGCGTTTTGCCTCTCCAAGACATTGATTTCTCTTCGGAGTGTCCCACCACTTCTCTCAAACTCTTCACCTACCTGCGCTATAAATCCCTTTCCTTAACAATTCCCAAGCCTCCTACTCCCAGGATTGTTACACTTCTTTTCCATCATCTTCAGACAAACATAGTTTTCAGACGTAGAACAAACGTTAGACATTTTTTTTACCGATAATAATGTTGCAAGCCTCTTCGTCCTTAAAATGAACATCAAAAGTTATCTTGAATATCGATCGACCCGACAGGAAAAGCTGGGTTAATGAGACACGGAGAGGATGCAGTGTTCCTCTTCCGGAGACACGCCTTCCCCTCCCCCATCCCCCTTGGCCCATTAGGATTAAGGCAGCCTCAACTGGCTGGTCATTTCTGAATTCTCTTCTGGAGTCCGAGATAAGAATTTATTTTATTAGTTTATCCTTATCTGCTCTTTTTAAATGATTACGGTAATATATCCAGGTTGTACACTTTTTTTGTAATGTTACAGAATAATATCAAGTAAAAATTGAAACAGCACAGAAGTATATCAAGTGAAAAGTTAGAATTCCTTGTTTCTTTACTTTGCATCCTGAATTCCAGTCCCTAGGAGGGGTTAGTACCATGATACTATTGGGCAACTGACTTAATATAAGGACACGTCTCCATATCAGTGTGCACCTACCTCATATTTAAAGTGCTGTACAGTATGTAGCTGTTTAGATGTACTCTAATATATTTTATTGGTCCCTTAATGATGGACGTTTGGTTGTTTCTAGGTTTTAGCCATTAAAAGACTTACTGCATGAAAGTCTTTGGGGCATTGTTGGATAAGTTTCAGGTAGTGCTCTTTTTACCAGGAATCTTTTTTTGTAACTTGAAGGATTTTATAATTTAAAAGCAGTAGTTAATTTGCTTGATTTAAATGCATTTCTTAGAATCTGTGCATCTTTTTATATTTAGAGACTGGATCAAAAAAATTTTGAGGACCAGGTTAAATAATGGTTAATTTATTAACCTTGTTACCACTTAATGGTGTTGACTTTAAGGTTTTATTGACTCATTTGATTAGCTTGGCAGGAATGAATAGAGAAGGCCTTAAGGAAGAGAAAATTTGAACAGAGGCCGTGTAATACCCTCCTGTGGTAATCGCCTTGAATATCCAACAGTAACAGATGTTCTTGTTCTCTTTTTAAATGTTCTTTTGTTGCAAAATGTATCTCAGGTACCAAAAAACGTGTACAGAATATATATAAATATATAATTTAAATAATACTATTGCAATGATCAACATTGTATCTACAATCAAATTAAGAAATGAAACATTTACATCTTTCTTCCAGAGGTGGCCTCTACCCTGATTTTTTAAATTAATCTTTTTCTTGCTTTCATTTTGTTTTGTTTTTGGCCATGCCGCGCGGCTTGTGGGACTTTAGCTCCCCGATCAGGGATCGAACCCGGGCCCTTGGTACTGAAAGCGCCGAGTCCCAACCACTGGACCGCCAGGGAATTCCAATCTTTCCCTTGCTTTTTAAAATAAGCTTTACAGGGCTTGCATGCTAGTGCAGTGGTTAAGAATCTGCCTGCCGGTGCAGGGGACACGTGTTTGAGCCCTGGTCCAGGAAGATCCCATATGTTGCGGAGAAGCTAAGCCCGTGCACCACAATTACTGAGCCTGCTCTCTAGAGGCTGCGAGCCACAACTACTGAGCCTGTACTCTAGAGTCTGCGAGCCATGACTACTGAGCCCACGTGCCACAACTACTGAAGCCCGTGCACCTAGAGCCTGTGCTCCGCAACAAGAGAAGCCACCGCTGTGAGAAGCCCACGCACCACAACGAAGGGTAGCCCCTGCTCGCTGCAACTAGAGAAAGCCCGAGAGCAACAGTAAAGACCCAACGCGGCGAAAAAGAAAATAAATAAATTTTAAATAAGCTTTACACATAAATACATAAATATACACATGTACATATATGCACACGTATATAAATATTTACACATAAACAGTATATTTAGTTTTGAGGGAAGTGTTAAAAACAAAACAAAATTCTCATACACATAGCATGTTTCAAATTTTGGCTGCGCTGGATCTTCATTGCAGTGCACGGGGCTCTTTGTTTAGGGCTTCTCACTAGTTGCTGCGCGCAGGCTTAGTTGCCCTTCGGCATGTGGGATCTTAGTTTCCCAGTTAGGATCGAACCCGAGTCCCCTGCATTGGAAGGTGGGTTCTTAACCACTAGACCATCAGGGAAGTCCCACAAAGAACTGGTTTTAAGAGGATTTAAGAAATAGATATCTGTGTAGTCCATAGGGAAAGGAATGTCTCAATAAAACTGCTGAGTTAGATATAATTGGTTAATGTTCCAGAGGGCAACAAAATCATAATATCTTGTGATTAATCATTTCTACCAGACTATAAAATCATAACACCTTATTAATTTCTGCAGTTAAACTGAAATCTTACAGGACTATGAACTGTGTCTTTATTAACAGTGGATTGTTCATTAAATAAACTGTGATAACAAAGTTATTTTCCTCAGAGCACAGATGAGGTCCAAACAGGCTTATTAGAAAATGCTAGCGCTTTCTCAATTTGAGATTAAAAATTTGTTCCATAATTGTAAGCACAAACCTGACTGTGTAAGGAAAGGACAATATTGTCACTTTTAGATGAAAGCTTCCAGGAAAGATGAGCAGGACGGAATGGCTTCAGCTTCCCTGTTTCCCTGATAGGGGCCCTTTCTCAGGAGGTCAGTGGGCAGTGTTACGAGGGAGTCTTGGATACAGTGTTCACTCCAGTCAGGGCATCAGAGGGCTCTAGTGTTCACCAAATACTGGAAAGATGGCAGAAATACAGTCTGAGGGAGTGGGCTGCTCACCGTGGCCTGCATGCAGTGATCAGTGTAGGTCAAAGTAGAACCTTCTGTGAGGGAAGTGAATGTCCTTTGCTGATGCAGGCTGCAGGGTTCAGAAGGAAAGCAGGAACTGCACCAGCATATGATCAAGATCAAGCCAAGCACAGCTGAGTACAGATAGGAATCTGGGTCAGGTTCATGGGGCATTCAGTCCTCAGGTTAAAAAGCTGGATAGGGACTTCCCTGGTGGTCCAGTGGTTAAGACTCTGCACTTCCCAGCCTAAATGTCCATCGACAGATGAATAGATAAAGAAGATGTGGCACATATATACAATGGAATACTATTCAACCATAAAAAGAAACGAAATTGAGTTATTTGTAGTGAGGTGGATGGACCTAGAGTCTGTCATACAGAGCGAAGTAAGTCAGAAAGAGAAAAACAAATACCGTATGCTAACACATATATATGGAATCTAAAAAAAAGATGGTACTGATGAACCTAGTGGCAGGGCAGGAATAAAGACTTAGACATAGAGAATGGACTTGAGGACACGGAGGTGGGGTGGCGGGAGAGTAGCATGGACATATATACACTACCAAATGTAAAATAGCTAGTGGGAAGCAGCCGCATAGCACAGAGAGATCAGCTCAGTGCTTTGCGACGACCTAGAGGGGTGAGATGGGAGGGTGGATGGGAGGGAGGCTCAAGAGGGAGGGGATATGGGGATATATGTATGCATATGGCTGATTGACTTTGCTGTACAACAGAAACTAACACAGTATTGTGAAGCAATTATACTCCAATAAAGATGTATTAAAAAAAAAAAAAAAAAGACTGCACTTCCACTGCAGGGGCCACGGGTTTGATCCCTGGTTGGGGAACTAAGATCTTGCATGCCATAAATAAATAAAAACTAAAAAAAAAAAAAAAAAAACTGGGAATAGAACCTGAAAACACTGTTTAACCCTGGC